TCGGGAACCCCGTCCCCCCTGAAAGGTGGAGTGAGCAGCCCTGCGAACTGCCCCGGCCCCGGACCGTCGTGTTGGACCCGTGCAGGAAGGGCTGTTGCTGCTGACTCCCGACGGCCGGGTCCGGGGCGCTTAGGGGCTTGCTTTTGTGAGCTGTGTGTTTTGCTGAGAGTTAAGGCCCGTGGACGTCACCCTGAGCACAAACTGAGCAGCTGGCTGGGATTTGCAAACCGTCTCTAAAGCCCTGTACGTTTTAAATGACCCGAAACTTTATTTTGTAGGACCCAACACATGCCTGGAGCGGGGGATTAGATAATCAGTTGAAAATGCACGACCTGAACACTGATCAAGGTAACCCGGCCTTTCGTCCGCTTGTTTGCCGGCTGGTGTGCTAGGGTGCGGGTGCTTCCTGGGGAGAGGGGTGTGGAACTGCCTGATTCTCGGTGGGTGAGGTACCGGCACAGATGCTTACATTTAGGACTTTCTGTTCAAATGATTGGACCAGTAAGTTACTGATCACGACACTGTGTGTGTGTGTTTCTACAGTGAGGCCCATCCCCCTCCCCCTCCCCACCTCCATCCCGGTCCCTGATCCCAACCCCACCCCTACCCCCACTGCATACATGAGGGCACCTAGGTCTTTGCCTTTGACCTGGTCCTCAGAGGTGGGCTGGCGGCTTCCAGGATGGACTGATGTTTCAGTTCTCCTTTCAGAAGCCAGTTTAATTTAGATGGAGGGAGGGTAGGTTTTAAAAAGTCTAATGTTCTGAAAAGAAACAGCCACCTTGTCCAGGGACTATTAATCCTACTCAGGTCATTACTTAGCAGAGAACGGGCTTCAGGTGCATTTATTGACTGACAACAGGCTGGCACATTGTCTCTTAGTTAATCGTTGCGTAGGGGCCAGGTCGGAAGTGACTTACCCACATGTTTAGGGTGACTTTGGTGCAGAGCAGAGAGTGGTGGAGCCAAGTGCACAGAGCTCTCAGGCAGAGCTGATTATTTTTGCTTTTTGGGGTTTGGTGTGTACGCATGCGTTAGACAAAGATGTATTGGAGACGCACGCCACGGATGTGACTAGAGTGGTTGGGCAGTGGGAGGATGGGTAGAGGAGGGGCACAATATTTTGTCAAAAAAAGTGACCCAGTTAGAAGAGGTCTTTGCAGGAAAGCCCCTTTGCATGGTCTCTGGCAGCTGCATGCATGGTTTTGCTTGCCAGCAGCTTATTCCACAGAGTAAGTTAGTTTGCAGGTTTAGGTCCTGTTCGTTCAAAAAGCAGGAAAGAACACTGAAAAGCAAACAACATTTTTGATGCTGGAGACCATCATTAAGGGAACTAGCTGTTTATTTTCCAAAGTTCATTGCCCAACTTGATGAGCTGTTTTCTTTTTTAAATGATATATATTTTTAAACAAGCAGCTTTCCTGTTTGAGGATCAAGACCACTTACTGTTCTTTATTGTATCCTGAGCATTTGGCATAGATGCCAGCACGTAGTAGACATTTAGTAGATGCTAATTGGATGAATGAATGAGATAGTGAAGAGTTGAAATTGAAAGGAAAGAAATTGTATTGGAAATTTGACCCATCGTGCAAACCAAGTGAATTAATCATAAGATTCCGTGCTTTCTTCATCTCCAGGTCTCAGATCATCTGTTGCCACTTTAGTAAGTTTTTTTATAAGCATTGGCTTAATTTGATGAGTTTTATTCAGGTCCAGAAGACAAGTTACCTGCTCATGTCTTTATTCAGCATGCATTTCTTGAGCACCTACCATATATCAGAATTAGATACAGTCGTAACTACAGAGTTAAACAAGGTCCCCTACTTAAAGGAATCCAGAATCAAGTGAGGACAATGAGATGTACTGTCATTTTAATGCTTTTTGTAAATCCAACTACAGAGTTAAACAAGGTCCCCTACTTAAAGGAATCCAGAATCAAGTGAGGACAATGAGATGTACTGTCATTTTAATGCAATCTGAAGTTCCGGTGAGCCTCTGAGATGAACCATGCCAGGAGGTCAAACTGCTGTAAGGCGAGCAGGGGCGTGGCGGCTCTCCGTGGCCCTGGGGAACCCTCCTTTCTGTGCGCAGCTATTCCCCGAGCGTGGGTGGAAGTGGATTCCTTACAGCAGAACGAATGCTTCCCTCTGCTCACTTGAAGAATCGGTGTAGCAGCGTCGTAAAACTAGGTGTGTGTTCTGTTTTTCCTGTAGAAAACCTCGTCGGAACTCATGATGCCCCTATCAGATGTGTTGAATACTGCCCAGAAGTCAACGTGATGGTTACTGGGAGCTGGGATCAGACCGTGAAGTTGTGGGACCCCAGGACTCCTTGTAATGCTGGCACCTTCTCTCAGCCTGAAAAGGTAGGCTCTTCATGCTCATAGCAGCAGTTACGGGGACTTGGTGCAGGAGAGATGAATGTGGACTATAGAGGCTGCGGCTGCACGGTTTATTTTATAAACCCAAATACATAGAAGTGTTTTCATGCAAAGGAATATTTATTTTGCTTAACTTTTTTCTGTCCGCTGTCCTGTTTGTCCTGGAGAACAGTAGCCTGAGTGACAAATGTCGGGTGTGCTAGTGCCTCCTACCCCAGGCCTGAGGTTTCAGAGGAGGCGGGCAGCAAAGCCGGCTCAGGCCACAGCGGGGCGGGTGGGAGCATCACTCATTTGCTCAGGACTGAGGCTGCGTTGGCGTTTACTGTTAGCATTTCAAATGTGGTGAGAGCCGGGGCCTCTGTCCCTGGCTTTTACCAGTTATTTATTTATTTTTAATACCGACAGGCGTGGTTGGAAGGCTCTAGTGAACCAAGCTGCTTAAAACTGAGTCTCTGTGTCTTATTCTAACCTTTGATCTGGACAATCTGTACAGTGCGCGTGGAATCGCGCATTCTTGCTGCACCCTCATCAGACGTGACCAGGCGGTAGTTAATTTTAGAGATGGATTGTTGGAGCAGTTCAGAGGTATCCGTCACGGGGTCTATTTCCTCCGCGTAAACAGCCTCAGCTCCTGGTCGCCGTGGTTATATACTGGAGTGCATCCAAAGAGCCATTCGTTTTGTCACTTCAGAGTCAAATCTACAACCTGGCAAGACCTTTGTTCAGAATGAAATAATTGCATTGTTTCTAGTTTTGATATATGGTTGCATGTAACATGTTAAGAGCTGTGATAAATTGCTGACAGAATATCATGTAATGGACAGCCACACTGAATCAAGCTGCTTATTGGTTCGGCGAGGTTCATTATGTCAGTTTTTTAATACTTCCTTTGATAGATGTGTAGACCTCGTCAGTAGCCTGACAGTGGCTTCACGTGATTGATGGTCGGTGGGGATAGAAAGCACTGAGACTCCCGTGTCACCTGTATGAAGATTTAAGATAAAATTCCCAGTCCGACTGCCCTGTTATAAATTGACTTCTTTCTGGTTCTGTGTTTTTTAAGTTTGGTGTTTTATGTGACTTAGGTTGATTTCTATTTTCTACAAACATCTTGTTTTCTGAATAAACTATGGTTTATTTAAGTATGTCTATATTTAAGTATGTCTGTATTAAATCTGTTTTGAATTTTTTTTATTCCTTATTTTTTCCCTTGGTCAAAATAGTTGTTGAATTTTAAGGCCAGATTGTGGTGATATTGGGTTGTTGCATTGTTAACCCTAACTTGTTTTTTTTTTTGACTGTTGGTATGTAGTTAACATATTAGTGATGATTAACCATGTGGCTTAATGTGTTAAAGGGATGTCTTACCATGATACAGGCCTTATCATTTTTTATAATTATTCTTCAGGTGTTAAAATATTACATCAGGTTAGAGTTGCTAAAAAATAAATTTAGAGCTGCTCATTAACAGGGAGAAATAATCAGAGGAACAATTTGTATTTGAAGTCTAGATTAGAAAAAGATTTAACATGATCAGGAAAATACATTTTGCCACCATTTTCAAGAATTTGCTGTCTTGATTTCCGAATACATATTTGAAAGTAACACTTTTAAATCCTCGCGTATATTTATTATTTACTACAAAGGAATTTTTGTGGAAGTTGTTTTAATATTGAAAAGTGGCATTATGAGGGAAGAATACTTTGATGGGAGAAAATGCTTTTTAAATTTTTCCTAAAGATGAACTCTGTCTTGCGTGTTCGCTCTGATGTCCGGGCACAAGGATTTGCTTTGTCGTGTGCCCGGCCCCCGTTCTTCCCTTTCAGTTTTAGTTCATGTGCCACCAAAGCAGCCAATGAAGGCGGCTCCTCCCTCTCCCTGGACAGGCCTGTTCTGTAGTTTGACAGCTGGGAAGTCAAGGTCCGAAGTCTTGTTCCAGAGGTGGTCACAGAAAAGCAACTTGAAAATGATGGTCTGAAAGGCCAGAGCCCCTGGAAAGGCGTCTTGAGTTGTTTTCTGCTTTATTGTCTCCTTCCTGAGTACTTTTATACTTTGATCTTGTCACTAAATGAAACAGGTTGGAAAGGTTGTTTAAAAATTTAATTTGTTTTAGGAATGAGAATTCCTCAAAAGTGTTTTTGGAATTAATTAGAATGTACATCATATGATACTTGGTTAAGTATTAAGAATATCTTGGGGTTATTATTTTGTATGGATTCGTTGGTTTGTGTAACTATAGTATTTAAAATGGTACTTAAAATTTGGTACCTATGTGTGGGAACCTGGTGAGCTAACTTTTTTATGGTTTTAGGATTGGCGGGTTTTATTTTGGGGCAAAATGTCATTTTTAGGCAAGTAGATGAGCTTTACAAGTTTTGGTCTTCCCCGAAGGTGTACACCCTCTCGGTCTCCGGAGACAGGCTGATCGTGGGCACGGCGGGCCGCAGGGTGCTGGTGTGGGACCTGCGCAACATGGGCTACGTGCAGCAGCGCCGCGAGTCCAGCCTCAAGTACCAGACGCGCTGCATCCGGGCCTTTCCCAACAAGCAGGTGCTGGCCTCGCCCCTCGCCCCTCGCCCCTCGCCCCTCGCCCCTCGCCCAGGTGTTGGGATTTGTAAATAATAGGATCTTCTCTAATGATTTACTCGCTGGCTTTTAAAAACTTATTCCTTTCTTTGGAGTAGAGATTTAGAAAGTGTTAGGTATGTTTTTGACATCCTTTGTTAAAAGGGAGTGTGTTGACCCAATTTTAG